TGAGAAGGCCCACTAGATTCGTTACCAACCTCCCCCCTTTCACTACCTCTTAAATCTCAGGACGAGATTTCTTGTAGTGGAGGAGAATTGTGACGCCTGGATAATTAAGCTACAGTAATTCTCTGCTAACGATGCCACGTCACTTTGATTACTGTTGCTAATCTCACGTTAGTTCGAAACCGATTCAAATTCAAATCCAAAATCAAGCAAACAATAAAAGTTTTCGGATATTGAAAGTAAAATGTTTGGAATGATCCAATTAATGCATAGGTAATTATGGAGGAGAAACCACAGTTTTATAAAATGTTTAAATACCCTTAGGTGAATAAAACAGTAGCAAAAACCAATATTGAAATGCTTTTGTAATTAACAAAATACTAAACTAAATTGTTTTGGGGTAAAACCTTTTGTTGTAGTGGGTTTTAATGTATTACTAAATTAGGGATCATTTTAATATTAGATAAAAACTAAATGAAAGAGAGACTAGAAATAAAACAGAAAAGAAAAATAGATAAAGAGTAAAAAAGAACCCCCCGGCTCCCCAAGGGCCTTGGGCCACTGGCCCAGCTGGACGGCCGACCCAAACCGGCCCAGGCCGCCCCCTCACTCCCTTATCCCCCCACCTACCAGAACCCTAATCGCCACCTCCCACTCGCCCTCACTCACCCACGTCTCTCCCCCTCTCCTCTCAATCCCATCTGGATCGGGGAGTGGCTCAACCCTGCCGCGCCTACCGTGTCGCCCCCGACCGCCCGCCTCGTCCGCCTTCGCCCGAAGGCCTCCCCGTCGACATGCCTCCCCCCGCATGATCCCCTCTCCTCCCTCACTTCCCCTCGATCCGGATCGGGCTCCGACCTCGGGGCCCCGCTGTCCGCCTCGCTGTCGGTGTTCCCCGGCACCGCTCGTCATCTCCGGCGTCGCCCCGCCCTTGCCGCCTCGACCCCGTCGCTCGCCTCCCCGTCCTCACCCCCTCCTGATCTAGAACTGGATCGGGGCACGACATCGACGCCGCCGCCTGAACCACGTCGGAGCCGCCTCGTCGGAACGCTCCCTCACCGGACTGCCTCCCCTGCGTGCGTCTACCCCGTCCCCCACCTCGAGCACCACTGCCTCGTCCCCTATGACCCGCCGTGAGGTCCCCTCGTCTCCCCCTTTCCCTCTATCGTCGGCGCCGTTCTCGGCGCCCCGGCCTTCTCTACCGCGCCCACGCACGCGCCGCGCCCGTCGCGGCCCTCTGCTCGTTGCGCCGCTCGGAGCCGCACCCTACGCCTCGCCCTTCCCCCATCTTCGTCGCGCTCAAGCGCCCGCTCATGTCCGCGCACACCGCTACGACCTCGTCGCGCCACCCCGCTCCGGCCATGGTCGCCGGCGCTGGGCCACACGCCGACCCTCCCCCTCCAGGCCACGCGCTACGGCGCCCAACGCACGCGCCTGCACCATCAGGGCGAAGCCCCAGTTAGCCCAGCGCCCATACCCGCTAAGCAGCGCCCGTTTGGCCCCTAGGGCCTATGACAAAAGGGGCCCAACCCCAGAACGTTTCTTTAAAATAAAATAAAATAAAATAAAAATGAATTAATAAAATTATTAATTAATTAATTAATTAGTGGCTTAATTAAGTTAATTAATCATGTTTAGTTAATCTAATCAACTAGTTAGTTTAATTAAATAGTAATTAGATTAGCTAAGTCCTAATTAACCTAAACAGTGTATGGCAGGTGGGTCCCGCACGTCAGTTTGACCAGTCAACACCTCTGTTGACTGCTGACATCATGCCGACGTCATGCTGATGCAATAATACTAATTTCGAATTAATTTAATAATAATAATTAGAAAATGAGTTAAAACTTTAAAAATTAATATAAAATAAACCGTAGCTCATGTGGAAATACTTTCTACATGAAAGTTGCTCAGAACGACGAGACGAATCCGGATACGCAGCCCGTTCGTCCGCCCCACATCCCTAGCATAGCAAACACGCAACTTTCCCCTCCGGTTCATCTGTCCGAAAACGCGAAACACCGGGGATACTTTCTCGGATGTTTCCCCCTTTCGCCGGTACCACCTACTGCCGCGTTAGGGCACACCTAGCACCGCATATTTCCATGTTACGCTTTGTGATGCTTTGATTGCTCTGTTATTTATTGTGTTCCCCCTCTGTTACTTCTTTTCGGTAGACCCCGAGACTGTCGGCGACCCCCAGTTCGACTACGGAGTTGACGACCCCTCCTTGCCAGAGCAACCAGGCAAGCCCCCCCTTGATCACCAGATATCGCCTATTCCTCTCTATACTGCTTGCATTAGAGTAGTGTAGCATGTTACTGTTCGATTACTCCTATTCTGTTGCATAGCCTGTCATTGTTACTACAGTCATTCATACCTTACCCGCAATCCTAAATGCTTAGTATAGGATGCTAGTTTATCATCATTGGCCCTACATTCTTGTCAGTCTGCCTTGCTATACTATTGGGCCGTGATCACTCGGGAGGTGATCACGGGTATATACTGTACATATATACATACTATACAGATGGTGACTAAAGTCGGGTCGGCTCGTTGAGTGCCCGCGAGTGATTCACGGATTGGGGGCTGAAAGGACCTTTGTTCCGACGGCCCTCTGTGTGGATCTTTGTGGCGGAGCGACAGGGCAGGTTGAGACCACCTAGGCGAGAGGTGGGCCTGGCCCTGGTCGGCGTTCGCGGTTGCTTTATAATAACACGCTTAACGAGATCTTGGTATTTGATCTGAGTCTGGCCACTGGCCTATACGCACTAACCAACTACGCGGGAAAGATATGGGCACTCGACGTCGTGGTATCAACCGAAGCCTTCTAGACGTCAGCGACTGAGCGGCGCGCGCCGGATTGGAACGTAAGCCTGCTCTTGTATTAAGGGGGCTAGTTTTGCTTTCGGCCGCCCACGCAACGTGCAGGTGTGCAATGGGCGATGGGCCCAGACCCTTGCGCCATAGGAGTTAGACCGGCGTGCTGACCTCTCTGTTAGGCCTAGGTGGGGCTGCGACGTGTTGATCTTTCGAGGCCGGGCTTGACCCAGGAAAGTGTGTCCGGCCAAATGGGATCGAGCGTGTTGGGTTATGTGGTGCACCCCTGCAGGGAAGTTTATCTATTTGAATAGCCGTGTCCCTCGGTAAAAGGACGACCCGGAGTTGTACCTTGACCTTATGATAACTAGAAGCGAATACTTAATAAAACACACCCAGACAAGTTCCACAGACAACCCGGTGATCGCTTTTCCACAGGGCGACGAGGGGAGGATCGCCGGGTAGGATTATGCTATGCGATGCTACTTGGAGGACTTCAATCTACTCTCTTCTACATGCTGCAAGACGGAGGCTGCCAGAAGCCTAGTCTTCGACAGGATTAGCTATCCCCCCCTTATTCTGGCATTCTGTAGTTCAGTCCACCGATATTGCCTCTTTACACATATACCCATGCATATGTAGTGTAGCTCCTTGCTTGCGAGTACTTTGGATGAGTACTCACGGTTGCTTTTCTCCCCCTTTTCCCCCTTCCCTTCTACCTGGTTGTCGCAACCAGATGTCAGAGCCCAGGAGCCAGACGCCACCGTCGACGATGACTCCTACTACACCGGAGGTGGCTACTACTACGTGCAGCCCGCTGACGACGACCAGGAGTAGTTTAGGAGGATCCCAGGCAGGAGGCCCGCGCCTCTTTCGATCTCTATCCCAGTTTGTGCTAGCCTTCTTAAGGCAAACTTGTTTAACTTATGTCTGTACTCAGATATTATTGCTTTCGCTGACTCTTGTGTATTCGAGCTTATGTATTCGAGCCCTCAAGGCCCCTGGCTTGTAATATAAAGTTTGTATAATTTTAATTTGTGTCTAGAGTTGTGTTGTGATATCTTCCCGTGAGTCCCTGATCTTGATCGTACACATATGCGTGCATGATTAGTGTACGATTGAATCGGGGGCGTCACATGTTTTTTGAAAGCAGGACAACGGGGGGACAAGGAAGCTGGATGTTTCCATCGGCGGAAGGGAAACAGAGACCTCAAGTGCTAGAAGCGGCTATGGTGGAGAAGGTACGACAACGGCTATGGCGGAGCTACCACCGGCGACTTTTTGCTGGAACCCAGACTATAGGTGCTACAACCGGCTATGGCGGAGCTACCACCGGCATTTTTTTTTGCTACAACCATTTGCGGATTAGCTGCGACCCATGTCGTCGTGCTGGGCAGCGATGGCGATTTTGCTGCAACCGTAATTTGTTGTTGCTACTACCGGCGAACTGTTTTGCTACATCCATCAAGTCGGAGCTGCGACCTCGCGACGGCGTTTTTGCTGCAACCGTTGTCAAGTTTTGCTATGTCCGGCGAAGTATTTTGCTACATCCGTTCAATGGCGTGATTGTTCAATGGCGTGATTGGCTGGTGGGAGTCGTCGACACAATTCCCTTCAGCGAGCATCAATGGCGAGGGATGGCGGCGGAGCTACAACCGGAGCCGCTGAGAGCTGCAACCGCAGGTGCAACTGTTGCATGGGTAAGGCAGTGACGAGGATGACCGGCGAGGGTGGGAACCAACGACGAGGACGGCCGGCGAGGGTGCGGACCGGCAACGAGGAAGGCCACCGGAGGGGAGATGAGGCACCGGAGGGGAGCTGCGCGAGACGGCGGAGATGCGGGGATCTGCATGAGCGCGAGATGCGCGAGGAAGATCTGGGACGAACCGTCTTTTTTTCCGCTAGATCAAACGGCCAGAAAAAGTGGCATCCTGCAGCAGCTAGGATGCGACCGGCCCAAACTTTGGGCCGGTGCGCCGGCGCAGATCGCTCGCCTTATGCAAACCCATCCCGTTCTAGCACGGGTACTGTTTGACCAAGGTCAGCTCGACCGCTTTCAAGCACTGTCCTGGAAACGACCTACCCAATATTGTTCAAGGTTCACGCTGTTCAGGATCATATCATATCATGGGATTGTAGTAGGCTCCCAAGATTATTCCCCCCGTGAGGAAGTCTGGCAAACCTCAACACATGAGTTCGAACACCACGCAGCCGTGTGGGTTCACCGCCGCTGAGATCTCTTCCTCGAGGAGACCAAGATTCCTCCCACTCCAAACTTCACTGCAGCTGCATGAGTGTTTTCGTACGAAGGCTGTCCCAAGAACCTTTTCCAGGTCCGATATTGTCGCGGTTATTTTCCGGCTCACCGAGTCGAGGTTGAAGAACGCAAGGTAGATTTCCCCTGCGACATAAATTAAAAATTAAACATCATGAACTACTTCTTGTGTATTACCATGGAGGTTCATTCTGAAAGACACGCGCGTAACGAAGAAGCCAGAAATACCAGCACCCCAATTAGGTCTCAACGCAAAGAAATGAGCAAATAAACATTTGGAGACTGGAACATTCCTAACACAGTACTAGAATAACTAGATATCACATAGTCAGTATGACAGGTTGCATATTCGTTAACGAAAAATAGTACTCCCTCCGATCCGTTCAATCTTAGTTCAAAACTGCGACACTTATTATGTATCGGAGGGAGTACCATTTTCGTAAATGCCAGCTTAGGGAAGGTAATATGTCTCATGTTTTCGCATCACTGCTCTCTGAGCCCACATAAAATTCCGCTCTACTCTTTTTCTTAAATTCCGCATATCAATGTCACGAGAATGAGCTACCACTATTAATATTACAATGTTATATTGTTCTGTTTTCAGCTTACAAAAGATTACAGAACATGAATCTTACAACATAAAATTTCTGCAAACATTTCAGTTCTCTTCAGCTTTTCTGTTATGACTGGCATATTAGGGGCTTAGCCCAGTTAGTTGTGGCCCAGTTTATCGTATAGTTTAGGGGCTTAGCCCAATTGTCTTATTAGAAGGATTATATAAACTCGTGTAAGGACCCGTTTTGGGATTAAGCAAGAAACAATCATATTTGCTCGGCTTCCTTAGGGAGCCGGGAGACCTAACCCTAGCCGCCGCCCCTGCTCTCTCTCTCTCTCGCGCGCACGCAACGACGGCGCCCCAGCGCCGGCGACCACGCCTTCCTCCACGCCATCCCTCCTTCCACCCCTACAACCTGAGACCACGCCCTGGTAGGGATCCGGTACCTACCAATTTGTTATCAGATAGCTTCGGTGCGATCATGTCCTCGCTGCCGCCCACCCCGACCCTCCCGCTGCCGACCGCGACGACCGCCCCGATGGCCACCACGGCCGGCGCCCCGCCCGTGCCGGTGCCGGTCACCTCCGCTGCGCCCGTCCCCGTCGTCTTCACCCCGGAGGAGATGACGGCTGCCATCCGGGATCTCACCCAGGCGGTTGCGGGCATCTGCACATTCCTCGCGAGATCCTATGGGCTGCAGCCGCGTGTGCCCTTCGCCACCGCCCTGCCGCCGCAGCAGCCGCCGTGGCAGCCACCATCCTCGACGACCCCCGTCGCCGCCGCCATGCAGCAGCTGCCGTGGCAGCCGCCACCAGCGACGAACCCCGGCGCCTCCACCATGCAGCAGCAGCAGCAACAGCTGCAGCCGCCGCCGGCGGCGACCGCGGCCCCGGGCATCCCGACGACGGGCCCGGGGGTGCCCATCCACCAGGTCCGGTTTCCCACGTCACCGTCTCCGTTACCGGCGCGGCCTGGCTCGCGAGGTCCCTTGCGCCGGTCTACACGACGGCCTCGGTCGGGCCGCACGTGCTGCCCCTACCGGTGACGCACCCGGCCATGCAGTTTGGCGGGTCCTCGGGCTCCGCCGAGCCCTTCGCCAGCGTCGACGGGCCCCTGTTCCAGGGCGGCACCCTGATGCCCGCCTACTCAGCCCCGTCATCCTCGTTGTTCCGTGCTGACGAGGCGCACCCGCCCGTCGTCCACGCCCAGCCGCCGCCGAGATTCTCCAAGCTGGAGTTCGCAACCTACGACGGCACCGTCGACCCCCTGAATTGGCTCAACCAATGCGACCAATTTTTCAGGGGGCAGCGCACGCTCGCGTCCGACCGCACCTGGATCGCCTCGTATCATCTCCGAGGAGCTGCGTAGACGTGGTACTACGTCCTCGAACAGGATGAGGGCGGCATGCCACCATGGGAGCGCTTTCGCGATTTGTGCCTCTTGCGCTTCGGTCCGCCTATATGCGGGAGCTTGGGCGTCTTCCATTCCTCACCTCGGTGCAAGACTTTGCCGACCGCTTCCAGGCACTGGCGTGCCACGCCCCCGGCGTTTCGGCTCGTCAGCGGGCTGAGCTCTTCGTCGGCAGCCTACCGGACCACATCCGCGTGGACATAGAGATGCGCGGGCCACAGGATCTCCAGACGGCCATGTACTACACCCGCGCGTTCGAGCGTCGCGCGGTGGCCATCCAGCAGGCGCCACCGCCCTGGGCCGCTGGGCCACCACCCTGGCCGGAAGTTTCCACGCAGGGTCGGCCTACCCAGGCTTCCGCGGCGCCCCTTGCCGCGGCTGCCCGTTCCGTCAGTTCCGCCAGCTCACCCCGGCCAAGCAACTCGAGCGTCGCCGCCAAGGGTTGTGCTTCAACTGCGACAAGCCCTATGTACCGGGCCACATCTGCCCACGACTCTTCTACCTGGAGGTTGCAGACTACATGGAGGAGGACCCCGCCGCCGCCGGGCTCGGCGACCAGCCCGCCCCAGTTGACGCGGAGGTGTTTGGCGGCCGTTGATCTTCCCCGCCTTCCAGCTCGAGGACGAGCTGTTTGAGCAGGCGGGGAGAGATGTTATGACCGCCATATTAGGGGCTTAGCCCAATTAGTTGTGGCCCAGCAGTTTATCGTATTGTTATTAGGGGCTTAGCCCAATTATCTTATTAGGAGGATTATATAAACTCGTGTAAGGACCCGTTTTGGGATTAAGCAAGAAGCAATCATATTTGCTCGGCTTCCTTAGGGGCCGGGAGACCTAACCCTAGCCGCCGCCCCTGCTCTCTCTCTCTCGCGCGCGCGCACGCAACGACAGCGCCCCAGCGCCGGCGACCACGCCATCCCTCCTTCCACCCCTACAACCTGAGACCACGCCCTGGTAGGGATCCGGTACCTACCATTTTCACTAGTTTATATTTCCTGGGAAAAAATAACTAAATTTCATTATTTTTAGTGCATAAACAAGACACACTGTATCAATGAAGCATAGTCTTCTAGAAACAGATCTAGCAAAAATGTTCACTCCTATCACAATTTTTAAGGATTGGATTTAGGATCTTCTGAGACTGTAGTACATGATCACTAACCTTTACTTCCAGTTGCAATCCATGCACGAGCTCCAGTAATACCTACTGCATAAAGAATTGTGCCAACCATGTAATATTTTTCCTAACCAACGCATACAAAAAGAATGATGCCATGATTACCTGCTTCCTTGCTGGATTCTACTGTGGCACATAATCTTGAATAGCTGCTCACAAGGTTACCCTTGTCATTCAGCTCCCACATCTAGAGAAATTTGATGCAAGACATTATGAGCTAGTTGCCATTCATTTAGTAGTGTAACCGTGACATAATATCAACTACAGAAAAAGAAGGCTGAAAAGTATTGATCTCCATGAACTTGTTTCAAAACAACATTTAGTGCAAATTTACATAGTTACATGGTTATGCGTTGGCGTTGTGAAACCAATATGGTTACCACAGCTGCCATGACAGCGTAATATAATAAGGAGCATTACGTATTTAACACATCAGCCAACAGAAAATGGGGTTTCGTGAGTAGTTTGTTCAAGTACTGTAAGAACCTCTGAAAATCTAAAAAGAATTCCATCAGTCCTAATGAGAACAGGACTAGTTAGTGTTAGGGCAAATCTATTTGCTGTGTACCTGCTTTGCATGCCATTTGCACCTGGAGAACATGGGAAGCTTAACCTCTGAGGCAGTCCGCCGCCGACTAGCAGATGCATCCAAACAAGAATCGTTAATATCTGCAACTGCCAGATGGAACTTTGTTTGGTCTTCTTCCTTTTCCATGATATCATCATCCCTAGAACGTATAGTGTGTGATCATACAAATTATAACACGATTACTTCTCTATTCATAATTGGGTTGCACTTACGAGGCAAGAAGAGGTTTTGTTTTCCCCAAGCAAAATGAGACATTTTTGCCATTCTCTGTTTCATAGATCCTGCATATATGATCTGACTTCCCATCTTGTGGAAATACAAACCATCCATTAGCTTGGCCATTGGTGCAGGAAGTGAGACCCACGACCATGCCATCATGTTTTGTCAGGTTTACAGGATATCGAGAACTCAAGTGACCAGAATGTATGGTATTAGAAGACGTCTCACCATACACATAATGGAACTGAAAGAAAATCAACAGCTCAGCTTATTGGCCATGTAAGTGTACATATTGTTGTAATAAGAATCCTAAAATGCAGGTACCTCCATGTTATTTTTACTGTAGTAGTTTATCTTCAATAGAGTAGGATTGGTTATGATGCCGAATGTACTATTGTCGAGATGTCTCAGATCTCCTCCATACATGAGAGGCGACTTAGCCATTGACCAAAGTGTCATCTGCAAGGTCATATGAAAAAAAGATTTCAGTGGATAAAGCCAAATGAAAATCAGGCACGAAAATCACCAAGTGCAAACCTGTGCTTTCTGTTCATCAAATGTAAGGTTACATGGCCTATGAGGGCCCTGATTGACACCTGTATTATTAAAGGAAAAAAAGTATGTTAATAGTTATAAAACCACTTCACAGAACCAGCAATTCGTATCCTCAAAAAAGAACAGCAATTTGTTCAGTACCACAGAAAATATCAGAACATCACATGAGTTGGAAAACAGCATCGATGTGTCACTGAGATGTGGCATCAGGCCCTACATTTAAGCCTCACACTGGATATTTTCCAGTTTACAATGGTACAAGCTAAGTTTCCTTTTTCAACGAAAACTAGTGCATAAGTTATAAGTTATAGTTCAGGAATTAAGATCAAATTAGTTGAAATTTTTCAAAATTAAGTATACTGAATGAGACATGTCATATTCCAGGTATATTTATGAAGTTTTAAGACATGATTTATCATCCTGGTCCCAATCAATGAAAACTAGCAAGCAGAGATACACATAATCTACAGTACCGATCCAATAGACGCAACTAAATATTGAGTTGGTGCAGAACAAAAGCAGCATGAGTAATGCTGCATTGTACAGTTCTTATCTAGCGTACTAAGACAATTATTTACACTTCTCTTTTTGGCAAGGTAAGTGACTTACCATCTTGATTAGCAGCCACAGAGGGCAAGGGGAATCACAATTATTATGATAGTAAAGTAAAGATACAAATTGTTACCCGGATCAGTTAGCCAGCCAAATGGAAGCATGTCTAAATCTGGCCAAGATTTTCCTCGTAATCCGGCGGCCCCAATCTTATTCGCAGCAGAGAAGGCACTGTGCGCAATATGCAAACAAATAAGTTCTTATTTACTAGAGGATATTTAAAAAAACTGAATACAGAAATAAGGAGTATATAATGGATATACAGAGAATATCTGTTTTGATTTACCTTGACACAGTAAAATGTGAACTAACATCTTTCCAGTTGTCCCAATCATCTCCTGTTATCCTATACATATTAACATGTTCACTGATATTTTCAGCTAATGGTACAGTGACTTCAGTTCCTGGTGAGATGGATAGTACTATTGGGCGGTCAAGCTCTCGCAGGAGCTGCAATGGGAGAATCAACTGATTCTGAAGGTGCACCAATTTCAACGGGACTTGTGTAACTAACTCTAGGATGCTAAGTTATTTACCTGTGAAACAGTTATTACTTCTTCCGGGCTATAATCAGTACCGAAGATACAATCAACCTTCACTGCAAGAATGGTACATATGGAATAATCTCTTCAAACTCAAGTTATGTCAACGCTTAAGAAATGTCAACTACTCCCAAGGTGGGAGCTCTCTACCATACCATATTGTCATGAGGATCATCAAACTAACGAAAAGTACAGATTTAGAAATAGCATACCAAAATCAACACCCCAATCCGCATACTGTCGGTAAAGAGATCTTAAGAAGGCCCGTCCAGCTCCAATATCCGTATTTACACTCATAAATCCATGTGGCATCCATGCACATGTTTTATGGGTCAGGCCAATGTCACGAGCTGCCCATTGCCGACCATTCTCTACATAGGGTTTTCCCTGAAAAGGATAAGACACCACATTAACAATAATAAAATGAAGTTCTATGGCATTCTTTGAAGTGCGCAAAAAATGATTTATGGACAACAATAAATGCTCTCCTAAGGACAGCATCATTTGACAAAGCACATTAGTGCCTCCTTTTAATAATATGTCTATAACAGTATGGTAGATACAGTATGATAGACCCTTGAAATCCATGGAGGTATCTCCACTGCTCCCATTATCATATCTCTTCATTTCATTTCACAAATAAATTTGTAGATTGCAACGCATGGTCAAGAATTGTCATTTGTCTTCTGTTTTAGTAACAGATAATTCTGAAATAACAATATTTGCAGTATAATAGCAATTGAAAGGAGGAAGCATACCGTCTCAATATCCAAGATGGGTGTGTTCGCATTAACAGCCTGTGTACTTATTCCTTCCATTAAATGGATGCCGAATTTCAAGCCCATCTCGTGAACCTTATTGGCAATTTGACTGAACCCTTTATCATATTTGGACGATGGAAATCTTTGGAGGTCAGGAAACGGTCGACCCCACTCATCAATGTTGTCAAACCCATACGAATCTGTATATGCCCCATCAACATACCTTCGGTACCACAGGTAATCAATAACTGCATACTACAAGTAGATAATGAACATAAAGTTAATCAGAATTATCAGTGTTCATATTCTCTTATGTCATTAAGCACAAAGTAAAAGAATTCTGGTTTCGCAAACAAAAAAATATCTGGTAGATAACCTGATATCCATGTGGTAGTAACTTTTCTGCCAAAACCTTTGCATTTTGCAAGTATGCATTTTCATCAACCGTCCAAGAAAAAGAATCATAGGAATTCCATCCTCTTGGTGGTAGTTCCGCATGTTGTTTATTTGTCTCGGATGATGTAACCCTGAAAATGTTCAGTATGAACTAACTAGAGTCATTTCTCTTCAGCTTATAATCTGTTTGGCTGTCAAACGATTAAAAAGTATTGTCCAAAGAGAATATTTTCTTCTCAACACTTATCTTGTAACGGTCTTATATTAGTTTACAGAGGGAGTACTTGTTTCACATTCATACAATTATGTTACTTTAGACTGGAACAGAAATGAGTAGACAACAACGGAGAAATGTATATGGCGTTAATTTATTTGAATAATCTTCTAGAAAGTCATTAATAAATGCAAGGAGGAATAATGTGACATAAATAAACAGAGGTGAAATCTTGATCAACAGGAGCAAACAGACTGTGTAAGAGAAGAAGAAACATTCACATATCAGTGATGCAGCCATCCTCCTTTTCTCCATAATCTCCTAAAAGAAAACTGCAGGAGCTTTATAACCAAAGTGGTATGTATATTAGGATCATTTAGAATCTGCTTTTTTCCCCTTTTGTTTTTGAGCCGGAATTGGTGTCCCACATGTTGTGCTAAATTATTCCTTATCATGGCACAACACAAAATTGAGATGTATTTCCCTACTGTTTTTCGTTAAAAGGGAAGATGAGAGATTTGAAGCCTATAATAATCTAAGAACACAATCTTGTCGACAATCAGATGCGCAGTAGGAAATCTCGAATCAACCAATAATAACCCAAGGGGGCGTACACTACAGAGCTCTGGAAATATTTGGGACCCAAACAGAAGAGAACGCATTCCGCCTAAAAAGACGCTAACTGTGCGCGAGTGACACCCAGATGCGGCGAAATAATCAGGAAAACACACAAGAAACGCCACGAAAAGCGCATCGTTCTGACGCATCCAGGTTACGGAACGAGATGGGAGCCACACTGACCAGAGGCAGAGGAAGATGACGAGCGCGCGGAAGAGGAGATGGCCACGCCATGGCGGCGGAGAAGTTGGAGCTCCCAGTCCCAGTTCCATGCCAAACCTTATGGAGGTGAGCTGAGCAGAGTGGAGTGGAGACACAGGTGGCATGGTGGTGAGATGGACGAGGGATGATTGATGCAGGTGGAGGTTGGGAGTTGGGACTCCCTGTGGTGGGGCATAGAGGGAATGTCGTGTCGTGCTACGCGATGCGGTGCGGTACGTGTGCCGTTCCAGGTGTGAGAATTGTGCCGTGTATGATCCCAATCAGGCTTGTTAGGAGGAACGACGAATCAGCCGTTTCCTCTCGGTTAGGCTCGTCGCGTGCAGGGGAGGGAAACGCGGCGTCGAACTCATGCTAGCAGAGAGATGGCGCGAGCTCACGCGTGTTCTCGTAAAAGCGGTGAGAGAAATTGGGTCATTTTTTGCTGAATCGGTCACCCTATTTAACCCTCTATGACTCACGGGCGAAACCAAACTTATCATTTTTTTTCCCTTCAAACTCTATGTTGTGTTGTGGGTGGATTCTTACTGAAAAAGGCTTTTGCGTCGCTTTATATATAAAGCAAATCACTAGAGACAAACGAGTTCATACATAGAAACACCACACCACACAACACAAAGTAGCACACAAACATAGTATGAAAGGGTTTTACTAAGGGCACATTTCAACAAGCCCTCAAAAGTACATAATAAATAAGCGGCGGCTGCGGCCACGATGAGTCCTAGGGACTAATCCGGCTCAGGAGGTGGTGCTGGTAGCGTCAGTGCCAAACGAAGAGCCAACGCCCGAAGATCTGTAGTGAAGATGTTGATGGCATCCCGCTCCGGACCACGGCTAAGCGGTTTTCCATAGCTGCAAGTAGCCACACATTTTGTAGATAGCATCAGTCGGTTGACGAAGAGGGGCACGCTCAATCACAAGCTTATTATGAATCGACCACAAAGTCCACACAAGAACCGTAATGCCCAGCCACCTAGTGTGGAGGGTCCTACGTGCGGATGCCCGAAGTTCCTCAAAGAGGTCTGGGAAGTTGGTGTTACACCATCTCCCACCAACCACTTCTCTGAAACATCTCCAAAGGAATTGTGCCATCATGTAGACGAAGAAGGTGTGTTCCACGGTCTTGCATAGTGGACAAATTCTATCCCCTGGACCATTGCGCTTGAGTACCTCCACCCCTGAAGGTACCCGACCACGGATCCATTGCATACAAATATCTTAATCTTAAGCAGGAGTTTAATGGACCAAATTTGCGCAAGGGGCTCCGGACTTGGAGAGGTGGCAATAGCCTGGTAGAGCAACTTAGTGAGAAGCGAGGGGCAAGAAAGCTAATTTTATGGGGAAATCACCCTCAAAATTTCAACCTAATCAGAGTTACGGATCTCCGGATATTTAAGAGACGGTGTTCGGATAGAAAACAGTAGCGGAGAGAGAGAGAGAGAGAGAGAGAGAGAGAGAGAGAGAGAGAGAGAGATCGGAGGGGCTCCCTCCCTCCGGGAGCCATGGCAGCCAAGGACCAAAGATGAAATCCTCTCCCCATCTAGGGGATAAGCCAAGGAAGAAGAAGGAGGGGGGCTCTCTCCCCTCTCCCCAGTGGTGTCGGAGCTTCAGCGAGGGAACCATCGCCACAACGACCATCTCCATCAACTTCGTCGTCTTCATCAACACGTCCATCACATTCCTCCCTCTATATTCAGTGGTCCACTCTCCCACAACCCATTGTAACCCCCTACTTGAACATGGTTTTTGATGATATAAATTGTTATCCAATGATTTTTCTCATCGCTATTATGTCTTAGTAGTTTACTTTTGTCATATGGGTTAATTGGTGATCATGATTGGTTTGAGTTGCATGTTTTATTTTTTATCCTTTGGTTGCCATCATATGAGCACGCAAGTAAATGGATTACGCTATAGGGTGTTGTAATATTTAATGATGAATTGTGCCATCATGCAGACGAAGAAGGTGTGTTTGGAATGTTCCACGGTCTTGCATAGTGGACAAATTCTATCCCCTGGACCATTGCGCTTGAGTACCTCCACCCCTGAAGGTACCCAACCACGGATCCATTGCATACAAATATCTTAATCTTAAGCAGGAGTTTAATGGACCAAATTTGCGCAAGGGGCTCCGGACTTGGAGAGGTGGCAATAGCCTGGTAGAGCAACTTAGTGAGAAGCGAGGGGCAAGAAAGCTAATTTTATGGGGAAATCCCCCTCAAAATTTCAACCTAATCAGAGTTACGGATCTTCGGATATTTAAGAGACGGTGTTCGGATAGAAAACAGTAGCGGAGAGAGAGAGAGAGAGAGAGAGAGAGAGAGAGAGAGAGAGAGAGAGATCGGAGGGGCTCCCTCCCTCCGGGAGCCATGGCAGCCAAGGACCAAAGATGAAATCCTCTCCCCATCTAGGGGATAAGCCAAGGAAGAAGAAGGAGGGGGGCTCTCTCCCCTCTCCCCAGTGGTGTCGGAGCTTCAGCGAGGGAACCATCGCCACAACGACCATCTCCATCAACTTCGTCGTCTTCATCAACACGTCCATCACATTCCTCCCTCTATATTCAGTGGTCCACTCTCCCACAACCCATTGTAACCCCCTACTTGAACATGGTTTTTGATGATATAAATTGTTATCCAATGATTTTTCTCATCGCTATTATGTCTTAGTAGTTTACTTTTGTCATATGGGTTAATTGGTGATCATGATTGGTTTGAGTTGCATGTTTTATTTTTTATCCTTTGGTTGCCATCATATGAGCATGCAAGTAAATGGATTATGCTATAAGGTGTTGTAATATTTAATGATTTGCTTATGGTGGGTTGCGGAGTGATATAAATCTAAACCCTAGTTTGTGAGTCATTGCATATGGGATGAAGGGGGGTCAATTTATCTTAATGATGTGGTTGAGTTTACCTTAATGAACTTGTTATTATTTGCGGATGCTTGCTAATAGTTCTAATCATAGGTGCATAAAAATTCGAGTAAGGGATGACATGCTAGTAGAGGCCTCTCCCACATATAAAACTGCAATGACGATTATCGGTCTAGTTATCAATTGCATGGGGATAATTCCGCACATGCTACCATCACTTTTCCACACTCGCTATATTTACTTTATTGTTCTTTTATTAAAACAACACATAAATGTTATTTTTCACGTTCTTTATTATCTTGCAAACATATCCCATTATACCTGCAAAGTAGTCTTATTTCTTGTTTCTAGGTAAAGCAAGCGTTTAGTGTGCGTAGAGTTGTATTACTGGTTGATAGAACTTGAGAGAATATTAATCTACCTTTAGCTACTCGTTGAATTCAACATTCTTACTTACCGAAAGGGCTGCAACTAACTCCCTACACTTGTGAGTTATCACTAGGCTGGCTTTAGGTGATATTCATATTGGTGGTTTGGTTACTCGTATCGCTGAGCGTTTCCATATTGATTTGGAAAAGCTCAAACATGTTCCTAGAATTACTATGCTCAATAGAAAGATTGTGATTAACTGTAAGTTTATTGGGCCTGATCCCGAACATGGAGGGGATAATTCTTACAAGTTTCTGTTGCCTGGTGCAGCCAGGACAATTCGATTGCCCCTTGTGCAAGCTTTTTCAGTGAGCACTCGCAATGAGTGGGTACTCACCCTTGCTGAGATTAACGCGTTTAGGAACAAGAAAGGTTTCGAGGCCGATTCCCATGTCGATCCAGCTCCTGAGTGGGATGCCGCAGCAGAGGGTGTTGACGCCGGTTTTAGCGCAGGACCTGGGCACGGTTGGGGTGCCTGCAAGGAGAGGCCGGGTGGAGCGCACCACCTCAGCACCCTTATGGCTATGGTGGTGAGTACATCCCTAGGGGTGAGTACTAGCAGCTTGTCCAGAGTGGTGGCGGGTATCCGGACTGACCTCCAACTCGCCAATGACAACATAGGGCTCCTCTCACAAAGCATGGAGATCCCCATATCCCTCTAACCTCCTAACGAGCAGCCCAACATTGCACCATCGTCACACTGGTATAGCGAGGTGCTATACAAACGGTTTTTAATCCCTTTCCGCAATGGCATTTGGAACCGCCACCTAGTGAGTGTGGGCGATAGGGGGTCCTTTCCACATGACCCAGAAATCGTCGGAATGGGCGAGCGGCTACTGACGATCCCCATAGAACAAATGTACGAGAAGCTGCACCAGTCCCACATGTTACATCTCGACGTTACGTTTCTGATCAGAGAGACATCCCAAACGATTAGGCCGCTATAATCGTGTGAAAAAGGTGGACATCAACATTTAATCTGCTGATATGTTTATGATAGGTACGTTATCGCACACGGATCAAGAATGTAAAATGTGTGCGGTGCCTCTACTAACGCCGATGTGTACATTTTCGTAACTATGTGCGATTGGTATTCCTATCACACACGCACACTGGTTTAAAACATTTGCCGTATTACCATGAATCACACACACATATGAGACGAAGCCGTGTGTGTGCGTCCGACGAGCATCGCAAACGTTTCACGTCAAAGAACCGTCTGTTTTCTTTTTTCATCACACACGATGTTTTCTTTCTAACCGTGTGCACATTATTTTATTCGCTCATGTACATTTTTTTGCTGTAATTTATTATTCAAATTGGAAATTTTGAAATATGAAACATGCAATTCAAATTCTCAGCACAATGGTTCAACAACGAATCCATAAATAAAATTGCCAGTATATTTTTTTAGTAATTACAGGATTAGACAACAATTAACTATGATGAACCACAATATTTATAGGCGGTAAAGGTGAAAAGACAAGTGTAAATCATTTTGACTGCCGATGTTGTTGAAGAAGCGGAATACCCGTAATGTGCCTTCCTGCATGCCATAGGCATGAACAACTTTTGTCCAACCCCTTGTGACGATCGCCCACCCATCCTTCATCGTCTTCAGGAAAACTTCTAGAGCATTATCATGGTAGCATGAATTATATACTTTAACCTTAGTTGCCTCCACTCTGGTCATGTAGTTTGCAAGGTAATCATCAGCAAATAGCTTCGGAAACCACTAAAAAGATAAAAATATTAAATCATGAGGTCTAATAGAATAACTTGTTGTGGGCAGGGGGAAAAGGCAAC